TTTTCCTTGCCTTTAGTGAGGAGTATTTATACCTCAAATACTCATGATTGCTGTCAGTGTGGTCAGTAGGTGATCATTAGATATAGGCAACATGCGCACTGATTCCTATGAGGAATGTCTTCTCTTTTAACTGCTTCGGGACCCCGAGCAATCAAGACTGTGTCATCGGCCTGCCGACGGTTCAATGAGCTCCTTTCGGTGAGGATGCAATAAATGCCCAGCCTTAGAGACATTTATTGTCTTTCACTTCTGAGTCTTACCGCATTGAATGCAGTCTCATCAAGGGAATGGTGTAATTAAATGCTTGTTTTTCCAAGTCGTGTGTCAGCAAGGTCATGCGGTCTTTCTGTCTCTGATGTGACACAATATGCCACGTGTCCATTCCCCATTGGCTGTGGTCCCTGCCTTCCTGTGCCTTTTGACACCAATTGTGTAAGACGAGATCATGATAGTTAACCTAGTCTAGCCTAGGCTAGTGACCAGTGCATCAATAGCCTTTGCTGGAGCAGAGAACGACATCCTGAATGAGGGGGGTACATCTCGGTACCGAGGAAGAGGTACATCTCGGAGCCGAGGAATAGGTACATTTTGAAGTTGAGAGGGGGAGGCCTAGCGACCGATGTACCATATCAGACCGAGGGTACGTGTCGGTACATAAAAACGTACTGGATGCCACTCGATCCCATGATCAGTACCTCGGGGGAGAGGGGACTTGTGACCCGATGGGTACGTGATCTCGGTAACAAGGATTAATGATACCAAGGACACGTGTCTTCATCTCGGAGTATTTCGAAAATATCCCATCAATTATTGTGAGGAATTCCTATAGTCCCCAAATCAAGCCCCGTCAACAAATCATCCAAAATTACAAGTATATTTCCCATTTTCTTCATTCTTTCTCTGCAACAAGTGACAGCAGTGATATATCAAAGTGATCCTCCTTTGAAGTGAGTATTTGTGAGGTTTAAAATAACTATCTTTTACTCCTGCTTTATTCCNAGTATTTCGAAAATATCCCATCAATTATTGTGAGGAATTCCTATAGTCCCCAAATCAAGCCCCGTCAACAAATCATCCAAAATTACAAGTATATTTCCCATTTTCTTCATTCTTTCTCTGCAACAAGTGA